GTTTTTTCCCTCTCAGATAAGCAGTCCTCAGACTTCAAGGTATGTTAACATTCAGCCTTTCAGGCTCTTCAGGGGCTATCTGTATCAGAATAATTTATGGTGCTTGATAAAATATAGATTTTCAGATCCCTTTCTCAAGCATTCAAAATCAATAGAGCTGAATATTTTTTTACTTTCACAAGTTAGTCTGATGCAGATGGTTCCCAGACAACACTTGAGAAACAAACTGTCTCAGCTTGATGCCCCGGGGAAGCCTTGGGTCACTTTGACAAATGAGAGACTCTGAAGGAGGCAGATAAATTTAGTGCTGATTGTATGAGGCTTGGAACATAAAAGCCCTGCTAAAAATCCATTCTTTAGAAAGGATAATGTTCAGTTGCCGTTTCTAACAAGGTAATTAAAATCCAATAAATCCTTCAAAATGTTTTCTACTTTGTAAACATCATTCTAATATAAATACATTTTAAATTCCTAAAACTTACACTTTTTATTTCTTCCTATAGTCAGACGCATTTTAGTCTCATCTCTGCTGGATGTGGGGCAATATGGTAGAATAGAAAGAGTTTGGGTCATGCAGCCAGGCAGCTATGAACTCTGTTCTCAACCCTGTCGTGTAGCAGAAGGATATTAAGCAAGTTATTTACCTTTCTAGGGCCTCAGTTTTCTCCTTTGTTAAAGTGGTGGCTATCTTAATTACATCCCTGTATGGTTGTGAATAATAAATAATAAAATGTACGTGTGGTGTCTAGAATAATAGTCACTCAAAAATTGCCCCCTTTTCCTCCCTTCCTCATATGAAAAGAAGCACTCATTCAGTGTTAACAACTTTATGAATTTGTTTCAGTAGTTCCGATTGCTAAAATTAAAACCAAAGTCTTAAACTGAGACAGGAGGGAAGTGGGTGGGGCACAATCATTGAAAGAATGACAGTTGAGGACAGGACACACTGGTTAGAACCAAGATGGCAGAAGATTCGACTTCCAGTAGACCTTGAGCCTCATGGCACGCCCACAGGCGCCATGACAGTTCCTAGGCTGACCATACAAGACCAAAAAAGTGGGCAGGGGCCCAATTCCTGGAAATCCCTGCCCCTTCCCCAAGATAGTTGAAATAATCCTCATACTCATTAGCATATGAAATTACCAAGCCCATAAACTAACATCCTTGCACCTGGTGGTCACTCTCTCTTGCCTTCTGAGAAGTCTGCACTCTGTCTATGAAGTGTGTGTCTCTCTAAATAAACTTACCTTCACTTTACTATATTTTGTTCTTCAATTCTTACCTGTGGGAGACAAGAACCTATTCTCCAGTAGCAAAACCACACCTACATATTAGCAATAAGTTGTCTTCTAAATGTGGTTTCTTTCATACTTTTTCCAATTATATCTATTATTTTCCTTATGTTAATCTTTCGTTTCTGAGCCAAGCTAAGTAACATTTTATATTAGTAATGGGATTATTAAAAAATAAAGATTCTAGTTGAAATAACATCAGAAAAATAGTATTGAATCACAATTGTATTGCAGACAGGAAATGAACACAATTTCAGGAAGGCTAAGGTAGAATAAATCCATTACTCTTTGTTTTCCTAGCACCTGCCGCAGTACTTGGTACATGGTTGGAGTGAGTAGTCAGTCAAGCCTTGGTAAATGCAAAATGAAATCAGATTAAATGGAAACCTCAATTTAACAGAATAGAAAATTGGCTATTGTCATGTGCTAAAAGGAAGCAAGTAGTATTATCCTGATAAGATTTATGCGAGTGAACATCTTTCCTATCATGTCTTTTTAAAAATCAGGAACATTTAGAGTAACACAAATACAAAATTATAAATTTTGAAGTGAAAATAAAACAGTAGCAGAGAAGGCTAAGTGATTAGAAATCATGAGACGAGGCAGCAGGTGGCAAGTTGGTCAGAAGGGATTTGACCATTCTAGAGCAAGTTCTTTTAGAGCCATTAACAACTCAATTATTGTCATGAATTATGGCTTTAGAATTCAATTAGTGTGTGACATTCCCTGGTAAATGCCATCCTTTATATCTGCTCGGCTTATTTGAACCTGAATCTTTAATAGTGGCAACTCAGGTGGTAGGATGTGGCGTCACCTCTGTAGAAAGTTGTATAGTGTGATTTCCTGAGAGAAGGTACCCACAGAACATGTAAGATGGAATATTTAGGGTACAATTATGAAACTAAAAGTGATTTCCAAAAAAAAAAATTCATCTCATTTTTTAAATTAAAAATCTTGTGATGTCTATGTTTTGTTTGCTTTAATTTGTTTTTAATTTGTTAATACAGCTCTGTGTGAATTACCAAGTATTAATGATAATGACTTTTTATGACAAATGTAATTTTTCCTTCTTTGCATTTTCTTTTTTTTTTCTGTTTTTAAATTGAAGTGTAGTTGATTTACAATGTTGTGTTAGTTTCTGGTGTACAGCATAGTGATTCAGTTATGCATATATATATATTATATAATATATATTATATATATATTGTGTTCACATTCTTTTTCATTATAGGTTATTACAAGCTATTTAGTTCCCTGTGCTATACAGTAGGACCTTGTTGCTTATCTATTCTGTATATAGTAGTTTGTATCTTCTAATCCCAAACTTCTAATTTATACCCCTCTCTTTACCCTTTGGTGACCATAAATTTGGTTTCTATGTCTGTGGGTCTGTATCTGTTTTGTAAATAAGTTCATTTGTTTCATTTTTTAGATTTCACATATAAGGAATAACATATGGTATTTGTCTTTGTCTGACTTACTTCACTCAGTATGATAATCTCTGGGTCCATCCATGTTGCTGCAAATGACATTATTTCATTCTTTTTTATGCTGAGTAGCAGTATTCCATTGTATGTATATATCACAACTTCTTTATCCAGTCAGTGGTCAGTGGACATTTAGGATTTTCACATAATATGCCTTTTTTAAGGTGTATCTTACTACTGCTGTTTTCATTTTTGAGTGATTGCTTTATACTATATACAATGCTGTGAGGTTTGTTATTATATAACCATTTATGTATAAAATCATTGAGGCTTAGAAAGTAACTTCCCCCATGTCTTACAGCTAGTAAATGGAGGATCTGGGATTCAAACTCAGATCTGTCAGAATTCAAATCATGTAAGGTCTTACCCACATCACTTTCCTATGTCAAATTTTAATACACACACACACTCACACACACACTCACACACACACGCACACACATATTTAATACACTCATAAAACTTGTTGAACTCTAAGCCCATTTAAATATAGGGACTGTACCTTTACACTGTGGTATCACCTTTAGCAGTGATGACAAATGCTTATTCATGGATGCCAAATGTCCCTCTGTATTTGTCTAAAACTCCCTCCAGTGATTCTAGTATACAGCTTAGTTGAGAAGTTCCTATGCCTAAGACTGGGTCTCAAATAAACACCAGAATATATAAATGAAAGACAAGCATAGGAGTGTTGAGAGTTCTAAGTATGAAATATATCTGTTTATGCAAAATGAGTATTATTTTATATAGGGTACAATGTTTATATTTTATAGTTACATGAGAAATCCATAAAGAAATACTTTACATTTTTGGCTTTACAATGTAAAAACTCATTTTATAAATATTGTTATTTTGAATGAGAAATAGACTAAGACTGAAACAACCTAGGTCAAAGGCACTGCTCTACCATTGATTCAGCTCCAAGGCATTAAGTAAAGCATTGCCTGTCTAAGCCTTACTGTGCCAAACTTGTAATAAGGATGGTATTACCAAGCCTTGTGAGATTGTGGTCAGGATCACATGAACTTGTCGAAGCACTTTATTGAGCACAGTGTACTGTACACTTTGAATCTGGCACCATGAACTACTCATGGTGGGGCCAAAAGCTCCTTCCCATCCCCATCCAGCACTGTCATTAGTGACAGTTCTGAGCCACAGTCAGTGCTTAGAACACAGAAGCATATTTAGCTATTTATATAAAGGTCTAGTGATTATCTTTCATTAGTCATTCAACCATTCATTTTTTAGTGCCATTGTGTACAAGAGAGATAATGTACAAAAACATGTAATTCTTTAAAAGACAAGTGCCCTTACAGAGCGTATAGTCTCTCGAGAGAGACAGATGCTAATCAAAGAATCACAGAAATTATAGCTATGATAAGGCTGCAAAGGAAAAGCACAGAATTTTAAGAATGTCATAAAAAGAGACAACTGACCTACTCTGGGAGGTCAGTGAAAGCATCTCTGAGCAAGTTATGTCTGAGTTAAAATCTGAAAGATGGAAGTTAACCAAGCAGGTACGGTAGGGGGACATGGTGACTTTCTGGTTGGGGGGCAGCATGTACGAAGGCCCTCCAAATGACAAAGAAAACCACAGGGTCCAGATTGCAGAGAAGAATGGAGAGAGTAAGGAGAGGTTGTTAGGAGCCAAGCCATGCAGAATCCTGGGGTGTGACTTCCGATCCCTAACGCCCACGAGCAAGTACCACTACAAAATTGTCTCAACCTTGGAGCCCAGATAATAGGCTATGAGAAAATCTTGTCATTCTTTCCATCAACAAACCTCTGTGCCTTGTAGTTCAGTCTGTAATGTAGAAATCATTTGGACCCACATCATTATCTGGCACCAGTTGAATGACTGCTTTGTGCAGATGCCATTCCTGCTAACCATGGAACCACTCATAGCTGGAGGTTCCTTTGTTGACACCTTGTTATTTATTATGGCTTCTAGTTACTTACTGGAGACGCTGGGAACTCTTATTAGAGTTAGCCCTTCATACTGTTTTGGTGTAATTATGGAGTTGAACAAATTATTTCACCCATTCGTCTGCCTTGGGGCAACACCTGTTACCATCTTTCATAACTGATTAGCCTTGAAAACATCGGGTTCATAGAATTCTTGTCCTGGTAGCTGTGCTCACAAAAATTATCCACTTTATGCCTTGCTCTGGACTTTCATTCTTCTCCCAAAAAGGCATCATGCCCTATGACTTTCTGGACCACAGAAGCTAGCTTGTTTTATTTCTCTGGGGGTCCTTTTTAATGTCCTTCAAATGAAAGAGCATCTGTCTCTGCTTACAGTCTTTAATCCCAGCTGACACAGTGATCTAATAGGATATATGAGAAATACGTAGGCTACTGTGTCTCTTATCAGCAGAATAATTGGGACACCATGCAGGTCCCTGGGGTTTTGCTACAGCATTGCAACCCCCCACTCTATCCTTATTATCAAGCCTCTGATCTCTCTTTTTATACAGCCCAGTTTTCTCTTACATCATCCTAGTATCTGCAGTAGAATTTTGTGATTGAATGTCGTCAGTGCCACTATTTTCTACCCCAGGGATGGTTTTAAAAAAAGGGTCGCTCCTTCCTTTGAAGCTATAATCTGTCATGCACCCAAACCTTCACAACCCGTTTCACTGTCTAGACCAAGTGCTTACAGATGAAAGTCAACTACCAGACTACCTTTAACATGAATGGTCTCTCCTTGAGCTATCCCTGGTTTGCATAGCCCTCTTAGATATATCACATTTTTAGAAGAAAACACTGTTTGGATGCTTGTTAAAATGATTAGGAAGACTTTATTCAGGAGTATTGTGATAGGTGTCAGGATTGCCACAATAAGGGGGAGAGATAGGGCTCAACTCTGAGTACAGAAAGGATAAGGGGGGAGTTAACAGCCAGAGTACAGGAGGAAGGGGTCTGTGGACACGGAAGACTAAGAGCAGGTATCAAGGGTAGGGGCAGGGATTCTTGCTAAAGTCAGGCCAGGGTGTCGGATATCAAGGGTCAGGGGTCTCACTGAACTGACTTAGTAGGATTCTTGCTACAACTGAACTAGGCAGACTGAAGACAGAGCCCAAGGACAAGTCCGAGCCAGAAAGAGGGCTCAGATGAGCCTGCCTAAAGTTTCATCAGAGAGTCTTTGTCAGTGTCTAATACTTTGATCTTTTTCCTGTTCCTGATACTCCGTTTCCCAGACTGATGGCTCTCTGAACTACATGTGCTATATGGTTAAAGTTAGGGACTTTGGAATCAAGAAAGACCAAGGATCAAAACACATACCCACCACTTATTATGCCCTCGCAGACTGGTTACTCTAAACTGGATACAGCATTAAACTCAATTAAAAAATGTTAAAAAAAATATGTAGCGAAATTAAGTTATATAGTGTGTTCAGTGAAAGAGCCATGTAAAGGTAAAATGCAGTAAAACGCTTAGCCCATTGACTGGCACCCAGTAAGCACATAATAAATATAATCTTTTATTAAACTTCTAGATCATCATAGAGGTTCTCCCTCTGCTTGAATGTAAGCTTTTTAAAGACAGTTTTGTCCACCTTGATGCCAATGTATCTCCTAAATTTAAAACAATAAATAGCTGTTAAATGAATGATTATAAAACTCACATTTCATCCATATATAAATTAAAGCAAAGAAAACCTACGGACACTACTTCCTAAAAAGATTTGCTACCACATAATCTGTGCCTGTAGCCTGAAAAAGACATCTTTTGCTCATATTCCACCATTACTGGTATTGTTTTGAATTAAAGTGATCCTTGTTGGCTTTTGGGAAATAAGCTGCTATGATAGAGAGAGTCATTTGGTGAGGAACTAAAGGAAGCCTCTGGTCTATAGCCAGCAAGAAACGAGGCCCCGAGTCTAACAACCTACAAGGTACAAAACTTTTCCAACAACCATGTGAGTTTGGAAGCAGATTTCTCTCTGGTTGAGCCTTCAGATAAGACCTCAGCCCTGGCCAGCACCTTCACTGCAGCCTTGGATAGACCCTAAAGCAGAGGCCCCCGTTAATTAATTATGCCTGGTCTCCTGACACACAGGGATTGTGAAATAATAAGCAGGTGTTATTTTGAGCCGCTAAGCTTGTGGTAGCTTGTCAAACAGCAATAGATGGTTAATACGTCAGGCGCACCCTTGGCAAAATTGGAAGATTAAATAAGTAGGACAAAGTTGTCTGTACTAACATGCTCTCCCACGTCTTCCCCTTGTACTGCCTCTCCCTCAGGCACCACTCTCCATGGCTGGTGTACTCCCTGTAGCATGCCTGATCCCAGCAGTGAAATCTGTTCTGGGTGGCTAGCCTTTCATAGCTATGTCCTGGGTTTGGGACTGGAGGTGGAAAGCAGGGGGTGTTCATGGACCTGAGAATGAGAACCACTGAGGGGAGTTTTCACATGATTCCATGTCTACTCTTGGGCATAAGACATGATAGCATCTAGCAAGAAGTTCAGTATTTAATGGAGTAAATGAGGGCTTGAGATTCATCTGTGCTTTCTGAATTTTCTGTAGAATTGTGGCCAACACAGAAAGACCCTCAACTGGGTTCTTTCTGATTTTGGAAACTTTCTCTGGCTTCCTAACAAGTGACACTGGCTCTTTCCTGAGGAAGAACCTTCTGGCAAGTCACAGCCTTTTCCCTGAAGATATTTTCTAAGTTGCTAAACGTACCTTAAGTAGCTTTTCTCTGTTATGGCTGAGTAAGAATCTTCTGGTTCTCTAGGCTCTACATTGATATGATGCTCTCATCATTCTTTCCTATGACATGTAGCAACACTTTGAGTTCCTTGAGTGCAGGGACCATTCCTCTATTTTCCTGTAATCCCTGGTGACTGTTCTTGTGCCTGAGACATGATTGGTGCAAATACATTTGCTGAATGAGTAAATACATGGAGCGATGTATGCATGGGCTTCCTACACTCATCTGTTCACCTGTTTATAATCTAATACTGCTTGAACACAAACGTACTGGAAGCGACTGCGCTTTATCACTAACTCATGTACAGTCGGTAATGATTTCCAACTACTACCAGTTCAAAAGCAGCATAGATTTAGCTCATTAGTTTCATCTTTGGTGATGGGATGTGAAACCTCTCGCTGGTATTCCCCCTCTGGCAGCTGAGCTCTTCATCTTATTACAGAGCTGCATTTCTCTGCTTCTGACCCAGTTTCCCTCACCCAGAGGAGTTAGCACATCTTGGTATCCTGTGTGACTCTCCAGGTCTGGAGGAGCCTGGATTGTGTGATTAACTCCCACAACCCTTTTACCTTCCAGTCATCTCTCTCCAGGCTTCCTTGAGCCCATTACTCTCCCAGCCCTCTCTGTGTGTCTAGATGCACCATCACTGTATCATCATCCACCTTTCCTTCCTTCTCCCTTCATCTGCCCTCAGGCTTGTCTTGGGGCATCTCCCAACAGTGATGAGCAGGCTGAAGTGGCTTCAACTAACTGACCAAGTATAGTAGCTAAGTTCAAGGACATTGAAGTCAGACTGTCCTAGATATAAATCCTGATTCCTTATGAGTCATGCTTAATCTCTCTTTCTCAGTCTTTTCGTCTGTAAAATGGAGATGCTAAATCATTTTTTGTTCGTTGTTTAGCGTCAAGTTCCATTTTTCACATGAAGCTGGCAGAGACGTCCTTTCAATTTCATATTCTCATTTTTTCAGAATTGTGTACACCCTGGATTTGCATTTCACTCTGACTCATTCCCTCAGTCACTCACACATTAAGTACAATTTTAGTAAGTGCCCACATAGGACAGCTCCTATGACAAACACCATGGATAAAAGGAGCAATAGGATGTTACTTCTGCTCTCAGAGTACTTACAGACTAGAAAGAAAGGAACAAAATTATTTACAGTGCCATAGTTAAAATATGTGCCAAGAATTTGAGAAGAAAAAAATGAGTACAATTAACTAGGAATTAAGGGCTTTCCAAAAGAGGTGAGAGTTGAAATGAACCTGGAAAGATGAGCAAGAATTTACAAGTTAAATAGCAGTGGTGATGAGAATCCAGTTAGAGACAGAATGTGCTTTAAGTTGCTAATTTTTCTAGCTTCTTGAGTTAGAAGCTTAAGTGAGAAAACATTTTTTATTATAAGCATTTGAATATATTAATTTCCTTCTATTGTTATTTGAGCTACATCTCACAAATTTTTCTGTTACATATTTATTTTAATTTTTAATTGAAGTATAATTGCTATGCAATATTATGTTACAAATTTACAATATAGTGATTCATAATTTTTAAAGGTTATATTCCATTTATAATTATTAAATATTTATTTTAAATTATATAGTTATTATAAAATATTTGCTATATTCTCCATGTTGTACAATATATCCTTGCAACTTATTTTATACATAGTAGTTTGTATTAATCCCCTGCCTCTATACTGTCCCTCTCCTTCCCCTCTCCCCACTGGTAACCTCTAGTTTGTTCTCTGTATCTGTGAGTCTGCTCTTTTTTTTTGTTATATTCACTGGTTTGTTGTACTTTTTTAGATTCCACATGTAAGTGATATATCATATTTGTCTTTGTGTGACTTATTTTACTTAGCATAATATCCTCCAAGTCCATCCATGCTGCTGCAAATGGCAAAATTCTGCTCTTTTTATGGCTGAGTAGTATTCCATTGTATACCTATCTATCTACCACATCTTCTTTTATCCATTTTCTGTTGATGGGCACTTAGGTTGCTTCCATATCTTGGCAATTGTCAATAAGCTACTATGAACATTGGGGTGCATGTATCTTTTTGAATTAGTGTTTTTGGTTTTTTTGGATATATACCCAGGAGTAGAATTGCTGGATCATATAATGTTAGCTTTTTGAGAAACCTCCATACTGTTTTCCACAGTGGCTGCACCAATTTAAAATCCCACCAACAGTGTACGAGGGTTCCCTTTTCACTACATCCTCATCAACCATTGCTATTTGTGGTCTTTTAGAGGACAGCCATTCTGAGAGGTGTGAGGTGGTATTTCATCATGGTTTTGATTTACATTTCCCTGATGATTAGGGATATTAAGCATCTTTTTATGTGCCTGTTGGCCATCTGCATTTCCTCTTTGTTTATTCTTACATTTTGATTTTTCTAGTTCTATCAGTTACCATAGGATAGGTATCAACATCTGACTCTGATTGTGAATCTATTAATCTCTCTCTTTATTTTTCAGTTACCGCTTTAGGAATTTTGAAGTTTTGTCATTAGGTGCATACATGTTTAGGATTTTTCTGTCTCTTCAGTGAATTGACCCATTAGTACAAAATATCTTTCTTTAACTCCAGTGATACTTCCTGTCTCAATGATTACTTAGTCTAACATCAAATAGTTATATCTGCTTTCTGTTTGCATAGTATGTGTGTACTATTTGTATGGTATAGTTTTTTCCTTTGTTTTTCTTTTTCTTTCGTTTTTTTTACATTTAAAATGTATCTTTTGTAGAGGATATATAGTTATTCTTGCCTTTTCATTTTGGTTGAAAATGTCTGCCTTTTACTGAAGTATTTAGTATATTTAAACTTACTGTATTTTTTTCTGATGCCTAGGAATAAGTTTACTATCTGTATTAGTTTTCTATTTGTCACATGTATTTCCCCCCTCTGTTCTTTGCATGTTTTCATTCAGGTTAATGAAATTTTGTGTTTATTTACTGTTGTAATTTGTTTACTGGCTTTTTGATTATAGCTTTTTGATTTTTTTTCTAGTAGTTGCTCTAGGGATTGCAACATTCATCCTTAACTGTCTCAGTCTACTTATAGTTAATATTATATCACTTCACATAAATGTAAGAACCATATAAAAGTATACTTTACTAATTCCTTTGTACTATTGTTGTCATATATTTTAGTTCTATAAACATTAAAAATTCTAACATAAATATTATTACTTTTGCTTTAACAAAAACAAATGCTTTTTAAAGAAATTAACAGGTGGAAAATAAATAGTATTTTTTAGTTACCTACATATCAGAAATTCCTATTTATCTTTATTCCTATTGATATCACTTCCCTTCAGCCTGAAGAGCTTTCTTTAAAAATTTTTGTAATGGGATGTTCTGCTAATGACCAGTTGTCTCCAGTTTTATTTATCTGTAAAATGTTTCTATTTTTCCCTTTCTAAAATAATAAAAAACAATTTTGTTTTACAGATTTATTAATACATACATCAGAGTCATTCTTTAGACTGTAGTTTGATAAGTTTTGATCAATGTATGCGATCCTATATCCACCACAGCAGTCTACATACTCCTTGTAACCCAGAACCTTCCTCATCCCTACAGAGTTTTCTCGAACATCTTTGATCCCTTTCGCTCTTTCTAGCCGCTGGCAGCAGCTGGATTTTTCTTATTCCACACTGTTATATAAATGGAATCATATAGTATATAAGATTGTGTCTCCCTTCACTCAACATATTTTTGCAATCCATCCATGTATTGCATATATCAGTAGTTTATTTACTCTTATTGTGGAAGAATATTCCATTTATGAATTTACCACAATTCATTTACCCATTCGTCAGTTGTAGGTAGGTGAGTCATTTCTGGTTCTTAGCTCTTCTGAATAAAGCTACCATGAATATTTGCATACAAATTGCTTTGTAGGCATATGTTTATTTTTATCTCGGTAAAGATCTAGGAGTCATATGGCAAGGTATGATTAACTTTATAAGAAACCACCAAATTTTTTGTAAAATATCTGTAACATTTTCCATGTACACAAACAAATTATGAGGGTTCAAGTTCCTGAGCAAACAAGTCTATCTTGCTTGGTTTCAGCCATATGTGTACACCTTGGTCCAGGGAGAGTAGAATTTCTTTTTTGACAATTCAACAGAGTTATAATCAGTGAGAAGGCAGTAATTTTCCAAATGAAATGAGATCCTGATGATAGAAGAATAATTGCTGATCAGGTGAAAGCAGTTTTATTTCCTGCAGTGTAAATCACTTTAAAATGTTACAGAAGTAGAAAGACAGTTGGACCACGGGGTTTGATTTTGATTCTACTGCTGGCCTTGCAAGTACTCATCTGCATGACCTTCTACACCACATTTGATTTCTTTATGTAACATGTCTCTCATTTGTAATGCTTGAGGAATGGGATGGATGATCTTAGTGAGATCCCTGACATTTTTAGCTTAATCTGAGCTGTGGAAGATCAATTAAACATCTATTGAATGAACACATTTAAAAGAGCATTCATCTGAGGCCCTTTTCTATTCTATTTTCATTCATCTTGTTCACTGTCACTTTTAAATTGGGTAAAGAACGTTCTTCTCTGTTAGTGTTAATAATATTTAAAGCTATTAAAAAGCTTTAGGATTAGAAACAGGCTTTTCTGTGTGTGTGTGTGTGTCTGTATGTGTAGCACTTAAAAATAATTGGCAAGTGATTCACATGGATTGGATTAGTAGCAGTAGTGCCAAATCTGGAGTTGATAAGATATTGTTAACACAGTTCACACTTGGAAGCACAAACAAAAGCTACCATGTCCCAAATACTTACTATTCAGTCAGGCAGCCCTGATTCCTTTTTGCTCGGTTTCCAAGATAGTATTGGGTATACAAATTCTGGAAATTCCGTAATAATCCAGCAATTGTTGCCCTCAAATCCTTTGACAATTTTATGCAATTTCATAAAAACTGCCTTTTAGTAAAACATGCCAGCTTTTTTTTCCTGGGGAAATAGTGTGTGGATTTTCCAATAATGGTTAATTGCTGAGGGTAATAATAGTAAAGAGCCAATTCTCTGTATTTGCTAAAGTGGCATGAACTGGGCTCCACGTTAACCATCTGGACATTAGTAAACTAGCCTGGCTAAAAGCTGTATTACAAAAAAAAATCTAAGTGAACTAAAGAAATTGTATAAGAAATTTTTATTTTCCACATTTCAAAGATTCATTCATCTGTCTGTTCTCTATGACCGGTCCTAGCATATCAAAGACCCTCAGTATATCTAGTAACTTCCCATTCATATATGAGTTTCTGGAATAGTGTTACTGCTTTCTAGGATGTTTGAATTTTAAATCTGGTTTATATTTGTGAAATGAAAGATTTTATGATACGATTTTAGAGACTTAACAGCACATAGTAAGTCATTTTCAAGGTGCAAGAGACAGTGAAAAGCAGAGTGAAGGAAACTTATTGTTGCCCTGATGTTATACTAACCCTATTTCTGTGTTACCTTAAAGGAGATTGTATCTTTGTCATATTTGCATATGTATTAATCAGGACGCTTTCTCTCATGATAGTGAAATAAATGACAATGGTTTGAAATTAAAAGGGAATTTATTGGCTAATGAAACTTGGAAACCTTAAAATCATGAAATGGCTTTAGACCCAGTCCCCCAAAATATATTTTAAAATATCATCTCTATTTCTTAGCATTACTTTCCTCTGTATGTTTCCATTCTTGGACACAGTTTATTGAGGGAGAAAAAAGAAGATGCATATGGTTATTGGCAGCTCCAACCAAATGGGGTACATTAGTTAGCATCAGTCTAAACTTGTCACCCCTAAATTGAGGGATGGATTTGGCCCCTCTGAAATTATAGGTACTGTTTTGAATGCTGATAACGAACAGTCCCAAGTTCATGCCATCAAGGAGCTTGGTGTCCTGGTTTTGACTGAAGGTGTAAAGCAATCAGTTATTAATAGTGAAACATTTTTTATAGCTGGATTACAGCTGATATTCTTTTCAGAATCTTATATGAGCTTTCAAATATTTTACAATTTCCATCTTATTTCTGATTTTAAGTTGTATATTTTCACAATCATTTTATTTTCTTCAATTGGGATAAGTCTTTGATGTGTTTGTCCATTTTGATTGTGTTTTCCCCATCAAAGCTATTAGAGTAGAGGGTGTTCCTACAGCCCCTGATTATCTATAATTGAGAAAATATAATTCTTTTATAAAGACAGAAAGTTATTATTGAACAACCTCTAGCTTTTATGATTCATACTTCAAAGCAAAGAAGATTACCCTTTTGTGTAACTAAGAGATACGATTTAATAAAAAGTTAATGAAATTTCAGGTAGACTTATCACTGTGCAAACTACTCCAGAAAACCCAGTTAATCATTTTGGGGAACTAAAATAACATTCGCGGATCTCCATTATGAATGGTGAAAAAATAGTATTATAACTTTAATGAGTAAATTAAACTTCTTAGAAGTGCATAGTGTATTTCTCAACAGTTGTTCAAAGACTTTGAGATTGTTTTCTCATTTTCATATAAAAAGACTTTCTTCAAATTAGGGACCTACTCAACCTGTTCATCTGTAACCTCCATCCATTACTGAGACTTCTCTGAAACTCTGCTTTTAATGTGCTACTCGAATACCTGCCAAGGGGTGAGTTACGATGATTACCTTCACTGGCCCTGATCGCTCTTCCCACACTGGAAATCAAAAGATAAAACAGACTTAGGATGAGAACTTCTGGGGTTAAAAAAGTGTGCTTTTCTGCATTCTCATAGTATGCAGGTCTGTGTGTGCTTTGTCTGCTTTCTACTATTTACTAAATCCCTACTCGCTTTTCAAGGGACCAGCTTTTCTACCTTTTTTCTTTTACTACCGACTAGTTTTCACTTTCTCTTTCTCTATGTTTCAAAACATTTTTATTTATAATGACTGGGTTCCCTACCATGTGTCTGCTCTGGAAGATATTATGTTTTATAAACATCCAGTGCCTTTAAGAGACAGGCAGTGGAATGGAAAGGAACAGTTTGAGTATAAATAAAGTATTTTAGGGGCTATAAATATACTTGCTAGGTAGAGCAAGGGATCATATCCAACATGGTGTCTTCAAGTATAAAAAGTACTTTATCTATGAAATTTCTGCTTAATCACAATAAATGGTGAATTAGATAAATCCCCACTTGATAATTTAAAAACTGAGGTATTGAGAAGTTCAGGAACATGTCCATTGTCATAGTCTGGCAAAGGGCCTTTGAATATAGGCAAGTACTTCCCACTGCATTTGTTTCCTTCTTGTTAAATTGCAGCCTTTTCATTATTGATTTTGTATTTTCAGCAATTAGCATTGTGCCTGGCATACAGTAAACACTCAATAAATGTTTGTTTAGTTAAAAGGCATATGTTTTCCTTCCGTATATATTTTCAAGCAATCTTTTAATTTGTTTCTGTTCAATTTGCCAATGTTAAAGACTGAACCAATCCCCAAAGACCTAGTTATATGACCCGAACCTGGAAGAGCATGGAATCTTGAGCTCTTCTAATATGGTTCTAATACGAGCATCAGCAGAGACAAATCTCAACTACAATTTTTAAGAGAAATTACTTTTCATAGTAGTATACGTCTTAGCTTCATTTTGAAAGTCAGTAGTTATTTAATGGATCCTAACAAAAAAAATCAGTCGATGATTATTCTTATTAGGATGTACACTTTTTTCTTATAAATATCCTAATATATTTCATATATGTCAAGTCATTAAAAGATTTAGCTCTCTCCAGAACACTTAAAATCACTTCAGAAACAAAATGCTTTTGCACAGACTCTCTCAATTATGAAGCAAAAATAATAAATCTGAACATAAATTTATTTTGTGAATCTAAAACTTGGGAGTTTTCCTGGACTTGATTCTGGGCAACTGTTTCCTGTTTGGAGCTCTTGTCAAGTAATTAACATTTTGGATGCCCTGTAGCTTCCCAAGACTCATGAATGAAAAGCAGAAGTGGAAAAAACTGAGTTCAGCTTTGAATCTGCTGATGTTCTTTGTGGTGTTGAAACTTACTTGTCCTCTTTGTACTGGTTTTTACATCTGGTAAATGGATATTAATGTGATATATCTTGCTTTTCCCCATAGGTACCAGTAGAAATTAACTTACAAGTGCTTAGAAATATATTGCATGACCATAGTGTAATTAGTAAATTAACAGAGATGGTATTCTGTAACTTTTCAAGAACAATGTCCTGGAAGAGTATCTCTAACATGCACATAGACAAGAAATTGCATTCTTTGTTCCTACTCTCCTGAATCTTCATAGAATTCCACTAGCATATTAGAAAGATAACACTTCACGTTACTTGTATTTCTAGAAACAGTGTGAGTGTTTTTGTTGTTCTAGCTCTTGGCAGTGGGTTAAGTGAACTAATCTAATATGATTGGCAAAATTTCTTTGTGTCAGATTTTCTTTTCTATTTCTTTCTTTCTTTTTTCTTTTTTCTGGCAGCTACCTTTAACCATAGTTTTTACAAAATTATTTTTAAGAATGTTTAAGTTAGTCAGTCAGTTTTTGTTGGTCAGAACTTTTGTACCATGATAATTCTTAATTCCATGTCAAACTAATGACCTTATAAAGCATCAAACTGAATAAAAACCCTCTTCAAATACCATGTCACTTTGCACTTCTCAGAGAAGTGAAGTAACTAGACATGGCACATTTTGGAACTAATTGCTGACTGAACTGACTTGGTACACAACAAAATTCTTTGAATGCTTTGCATGTTGTGAAACATCAAACCCACTTAGAACCTCTCAGTCATCTACAGACCTTCTGTGACTTTTCATTAAAATTACTAGTGGGAGCTTCAGAGTCTCATGTGTCTTCACTCTTGTTAATGTGCTCTAACCCCATGCTTCTGGATTGAAGTAGAAGGAGATATATCTATATAGTATAGATAGATAGAGATATAAATATAGATTTTTTTTCCTATGGCCTCTGTCCTGCCTTTTGCTGCCTGTGAATCATTAGTTTTATGGGAAATTCCCAGTCTTTCTTTGTTACCAGTTTTGTGATCTTCTTTTCTGTTCTACAGAGGGATCAGTGAAAGCTAGAAGAGTATTGTGCTAATTTTGTTTCCTCATTTCTTTTCTTTTAAAATCTGAGAGAAGGGGCAAGAACTTGGAACTGATCTTCAAATTATAGCTTACAAACCAGAGGAAATTACAAATAGGATCTGATCTTTTTCTGGCTGTGGCATGGAGTGTTGTGTTAAGTGTAGCTGAAGGGCAGGCATTCCTGGTGTCTTCTCCATCTTATTTCTTTAGCTGCCAGAAAGAGGTTAGCGAGGGTGTCGGTGAGACAGGGGATCTCTGAGGAAGGGAGGTGTCCACAGACTGGAAGCTCGTAGCTGGAACCCTCATTGCTGTGAATAGAATGATAATTTTTTATCATCATCCCCTGGGAGCCAAAACACGGCTTCCTTCCAAAACACTGTCCTTCCAAGCCCGTGATGCCTGTCTGTTGCTTCTATTCTTCCCTCCCAGGGGGTCCAGTGCTGTCCTTTAAGTCCCCAAACATGTCTTCTCACAAAAGGAGGAAATTGCAGAGTAAAAGCTGTATTTGCTTGCAGTAAATCAGATGTAGTTACTTGGCTACACTCAGAGGCAGGAATGCAACGTTTAACAGCCTGCTTGGGGATGCTACTATCATTCCCTTTTTATTAGTTCTAGGCTCTCATCTTCAACAGTAGTCCTGAACTAAGCTCTTTTTCCAGCTCTAGGTTTTGGGCAGACATGCCTTCATTTCCAGTCTCAGGTATCCTCTTGGGGCTTGCAATAAAAGCTGCTATCCCAGTAGCCACTAAGTGGCCACTAAATCAGCTCTCAGGAAATTTTCTGATTAGTTTACTGCTACTCAGCCCTTATGCCAACAAATAGAGCTGAGGTTCTCTCCCCTTCAGCTTGATCTTCCTGTTTTTTATTCATTGCCTCCTGTATTTGGCTTTATCCTTCTCATGGTGGGCTCTTTTTAGAGCTATTTCCGATGAACTCATTCTGCCTTCTCTCTCTCTGTGTGTCTTTTTTTTTATTTTTCAAAACCCACAACTCCATTAAAACGCTTTTAGTTCTTTTGAATTAAAGCTGTCTGCATCTGTCCTTCAACCCCCGGGTCCTTTAAATCACCTGTAACTTGAGCATGTTAAAAGAAAACATTGGCTTTAGCTGTCTTGTATTATTTTCTATTATTGCATTTTATCATGTCTAACTTCGGTACACCCCTTAAGCCACAGTCTCCTTTTCAGGGAGATTAGAGATACATTTTTTGTGTGCAAATAAGCAACAGAGACTAAGGTGAATTCAAGAGAAAAATAATACTGGACCAATGAAAGATACTGCAGTTTAAGTAGAAGGACATCAGTCTATGTTTATGATACAATGTTTTTCCCTTGTGAATTTATTCTGCTTGTAAGAATGCTCATTGTTTCCAGAAAGCCCAGTTTAAATGTACACAAGCTCCCCCTAAAATGAAATTTATTGAAAACTCTATCTTTACATCAAAGCTTTGGAAACAGGAAGATGACAGTCTGATAATTTCAAGGCCAACAAATGTTGGGGTCCAAAAAAGGGTTCCCAATGAAAGGCCACTTCTAATAAGAATTGAGATTTTAATAAGATAAATATTAATCTGACGTCCCAGCCATAGTATGTTTACAGTGACCCAAAGGTGCTTTACAACTTTAGTTTTG